TGCTGCAAGCGGTAAAACTTCAGCTAGTTGTCAAGATCCTTCATGTGGTCAATGTAAAACATCATCTACTCGTCAGGATAATTCCACTGCTGCAAGTGGTAAAACTTCAGCTACTTGTCAAGATCCTTCATGTGGTCAATGTAAAACATCATCTACCCGTCAAGATAATTTGTCTGCTCCAAGTGACAATGATTCATCTAGCTGTCAAGATCCTTCATGTGGTCAATGTAAGAAGGCATCAACTCCAAAAAACAATATCTCATCCACTGGTCAAGAACATTCATGTGATCTCTGTAAAAAAGACTCATCTCAGCAAGAATCTAATCCATGTGGGGTCTGTAGTGAGTGTTCCCAAAAAGCTTCTCAACAAGATTCAAGAAGTCCCCAAGATCCTACACTGCAATGTCTGTATAAAGCCCCATCATCTGCATATGGTGCATCTACAGATCCTTCAACAACATTTACTCCACAAAATAGCACGTGTAAGGCTGCAACAAGTCCTGGTGGAGGTAATGGTGACACATTACCCACCAACAGGCCCATTTATATGCACCTTTCTACAAAATGTTGCATTGTGAACTATAGTGATTCATCAACTTGCCTTGAGCCCATAACTGTGTATCACGAATCTACCATTCATCGAGTATCAGAAATACACTTTAGGGATGAACCTGAAACAGGCAGTACTCAATCTAAAGTTGATGCTGCTGTATGCTCTGCTGATGGTTCTGCATCAAAAGGCAAAAAGGTTGAGGCAGTGTCACCTGCTCCTCCCTCTGAGGAAGATACTTCTTGTCAAAGCTCTACAGATTCTGTATGTGGGGGAGAAGCAGAAGCACAGGAAAAACCATCACCCACTTGTGAAGGAGATGCTGGTAAGGAAATGCAAATTAGATGAAGAATAAAAGAATTGATATGAAGTTTTGAACATGAGAGTTGAGAATTAGGAAAAGTGGTTTTGCCATTCATGTCCTTTCAAAGACCATTGAAAGCTAACTGTCCAGGAACAACTGGGCATTGGGAGGTTACAGCAGGGGACAGGGAGTCACAGTTAAAATAGAATAGTGGACTTACCAACTGGTTTCCTGATCTAGCAATGTCAGTTTTTAATTGCAGCTCACACGAACACTCATGTAAAGTTGCATTCATGTCTGTGAGTTAAAATTTATTTCATTGATTTTGCTGTTCATGCAGTTGTTCCTAACGGTTTTGCACGTTATTGTTCTGTTTGCAAATTTGTAGTTTAATGTAACTTCAGCATCCTGAAATCTAAATAAAGGCTTTCTATCACAAAATGAATCCAGGATCAAAGGGGTATGTTTTCAGAATATTTTTTCAAAGGTCTTGGTGGACCATGAGTGCTCTTTGGACTTCAGAAAGAAATGTCTGCCTCTTCCTGCAGTGGACTTTTCACTTCTGCAAGCATGATCTTTGTTGGACAGCCCCACCCCATAAAAGACAGTGCTGGAATCCATTACGTCTGCTCCCCAGTGGTGTCCTCTAGCCATATGATTTTAATGGTCAAGCAGCTACTTCTTGATGACTTTGAGGCTACTTTTTTGGAGGAAGTGACAATGACATATTCTTGAGGTCTGGCTGTTGAAGCCATCTGGATCTCCTCACTTTCACTCTGACTGGATGGTAGGCTGAAAATCAATCTAGAATTAAAGTTATTACAGTTCCTCCAAACAGTTGGCATGTCATTGCTTTGTAACAACTTTGGTATTTAATGTAAAATTAGGAAAAATGGTGAAAAATTGCCTCAATTAATTGAATTATAGGTCATCCCTTCGCTTTTTATTTAGCTGTTGACACTTTACTCACCGTCTAAAACTCTCAGTCACCTGCAGAGACTTATCATTTGATATTCCACTCACATCTGTTATATGATCTTTTGATCTCTCTGCCTATAAACTCTGGGTCTGTGTGCTCACCTCTCTCACTGCACTTGACGAAGGGGCCATGCTCCGAAAGCTTGTGTGATTTCAAATAAACCTGTTGGACTATAACATGGTGTTGTGTGTCTTCTGACTTTGTCCTCATGTGGAGCAATGTAGAATGAGAGGTCATAGTTTTAGAAAAAGGGGTAGCAGATTTTAAACAGAGATGAGAGAGAAAATAGAAACTGAAAAGTCTGTCAGACATAAAAACTAGGTGAGGTTGTTGGCTTGCTCACCGAGCTGGCTTGTTTTCGTTCAGACATTTTGTCACCATGCTAGGTAACATCATCAGTGAGGCCTCTGAAGAAGTGATGATGTCCTACTCCGCTTGGAAGTTATACTATTCAGTCTGTAAGATATTCTCACCTCGTCCTTCTTTTTGACCAGAATAGATTTTTGTCGAGTGTTAGGAAATATCTTTGGGACATTGAACTTTTTTTTTTAAACAAGCCTTCCTAGAAATGCTGTGATTTATCCTTAGATAATTGCATTGAGTCATTTCTCAGATATCATCTGTCTGAGTTTTTTTTTATGGTGATCTTGTCTGAACAGTGTGTAAGTTAGAGAATTGTTTGTGGTTGGAATTGGTGAAATAGAAGCCACCTGAAGAGACAGCAGCTTCCCAGCTTGGCCCTCATGTTTCTGAAACAACTTTGTGGTAAATTCAGTGTGAAACTTGATTATTCCTTTGAACAAGTGACTGTATTTCTCAACAGCCTGCATTTGCTGACACCAAGGAGCATGCACAGTATGCTGTAAGGAGATGCTTGTACATGCGCTCGTGAATGAGATTTGTTAAAGTGTTTCACAGAACATAGAACAGTACAGCACAGTACAGGCCCTTCGGCCCACGATGTTGTGCCGACCTATTTATCCTACGAAGATCAATGTACCCTGCATACCCTACATTTTACTATCCTCCATGTGCCTATCCAAGAGTCGCTTAAAAGTCTGTAAAGTATCTGACTCCACTACCACTGCTGGCAGCGCATTCCACACACCCACCACTCTCTGTGTGAAGAACCTACCTCTGACATCTCCCCATACCTTCCTCCAATCACCTTAAAGTTATGCCCCCTCGTAATAGTCACTTCCGCCCTGGGGAAAAGTCTCTGACTATCCACGCTATCTATGCCTCTCATCATCTTGTAAACCTCCATCAAGTCACCTCTCATCCTTCTTCGCTACAATGAAAAAAGCCCTAGCTCCCTCAAGCTTTCCTCATAAGACCTGCCCTCCATCCTGGTAAATCTCCTCTGCACCCTCTCTTAAGCTTCCACACCTTTCCTCTAATGAGGTGACCAGAACTGAACACAATATTCCAAGTGTGGTCTAACCAGGGCTTTATACTGCTGCAGCATAACCTCACGGCTCTTAAACTCAATTCCCCTGCCAATGAAAGCCAACACACCATACGCCTTCTTTACAACCCTATCAACTTGGGTACCAACTTTGAGGGATCTATGGACGTGGACCCCAAGATCTCTCTGTTCCTCCACACTGCCGAGAATCCTGCCATTAACCCTGTATTCTGCATTCAAATTCAACCTTTCAAAATGAATCACTTCACACTTTTCTGGGTTGAATTCCATCTGCCACTTCTTTGCCCAGCTCTGCATCCTGTCAATGTGCCGTTGCCACCCACAACAGCCCTCCACGCTGTCCACAAATCCACCAACCTTCATGTCATGTTTCAATTGTGAGGCTATTTTCTGCACATAATGCGGTTTTGGGACCAGGGCATGGCTGGTGGTAGTGAGCGAGTCTGGGGTGAAGGGGGGAACATGAGGACTATATACACACTATATACACACAGGTCCTTCTTGTCGTGCACCCTCTGTAACCCCTATCTTACAATAATGAATCACCTGACACATCTTTGCACTGATTCTCATCTTCCACATATCCATCCACTCCACCAACTTAACATCCTTTTGGAGTTCTACAGTGGAGTCCTCCTCACAGTTTACAATTCTCTTAAGTTTAGTGCATCTGCAGCCTTGACATTTCTCTGCTTCCTATCACTCAGCCAATTTTTTACCCAATTTGCTATTGTCACTTTTATACCATAATCTATAACTTTCCTCACAAGTTGCGTGTGGCACTGTGTCAAATGTATTCTGGGAATCCATGTATACCACATCAACAATGTTACTCTCATCAAGCTTCTCTTTCATCTCTTCAAAAAACTCCAGCATGTTAGTTAAATACAATTTCCTCTTTGGAAATCTGTGCTGATTCTTCCTAATCAACTTGCTTTTTTCCATGTGATTACTATTTCTAACCAGGATAATTGTTTCTCAAAGTTTCCCCACCACTGAAGTTAAACTTTCCTTCATTGAGTGAGTTACTGAATGCAAAAGCAAGATTGTAATGCTGTGGAACTATATAATATGCTGGTTAGGCCAAAGCTGGAGTTTTGTGCATGGTCATCACATTACAGGAAGGACATACTTGCTCTGGAGACAGGAAAATGTGCTTTGTACCAATGACTGTGTTGCCTGCCTATTGTCAGGATTAAGGACATCTACTTAGGGCTGGGGAGGAACTTGGGTTGGGAGGGACGGGATCATCCACATTGGCATCAATGACATTGACAGAACTGGAAAGGAGGTTCTGATGAAAAAAAATTTGAACAGTTCGGAGCTAAATTAAAATGTAGGACCTCCAAGGTAATAATCTCAGGATTACTATTTGAGCAAACAGGCAATAGTAAATAAAGTCAAGGAGTTAAATCCATGGCTCCAAGATTGGTATGGGTGGAATGTATTTCAGTTCATGGGACACTGGCACCAGTGCAGGGGTAGAAGCATGCTATTCTGGTGGGAGAAGCTTCACTTTAATCAAGCTGGGACTGGTACCTTGATGAATTAAGTAACTAGTACTATAGAAAGGGCTTCAATTTAAACAGAGGGGAGGAGAGTTCAGGAGAAGGGAAGCAATTAAAGCAATAGGATATGGCAGTATTGTAGGGCAACTATTTAGATAAGGATACCCAGGGTAGGACAGGAAGGGACAGAGTGTACAATCATGAAAAAAGTAGCATGTAGGGTCAAATAGAAAAAAAATTGTAAAAAAGGCAAAATTAATGGATGTTTACCTAAACACTCATAGTATTTAGAACACAATAAATGAGTTGATTGCACAGATAGAGGTTAATGAAATCAAAGCTGGAAGCTAAATATTTAGGGATATGTGATTTTTTGAAAGGACAGGCAGGAAGGACAGAGTGGTGGGGATATGAAAGCATGATATAAATACAATAGCAAGAAATGATCTTGCATGAGATGATACAGAATCCATATGAATGGAAGTAAGTAATGATAAGTGGGAAAGGTCATTGATGTGTATAGTCTGAGAAAGGGATAAAACCATTGTGAGGGCAAAGATCTTGTGTACATTTAGGGATGAGATGAACAAATTCTTGAACAGGAGGGGAGGATAATAAAGGGTTATAGGGAAAGGGCAGGAAAGTGAGTGTGAGGAATATAGGATCAACCACGATCCTACTCAATAGCAAAGCAGGCTCGAGGGGTCAAATGGCTTATTCCTGTTCCTATTTCTTATGGTCTTATTAACTAAGGAAGTTAAGGATAGTATCAAATTGAAAGAGCAAACATGCAGTTTTACAAGATTAGTGGTAAAATAGCAGATTGCAAATGTTTTATAGGCAAACAGAAGGTGACAAAAGAAAAAAAATAATTGGCAGAATATAATCTCTGCCAGTAATTTAGCAAGTAATGTAGAAACAGATGGTAAGATCTTTAAATGTATAAAAAGGAAGATAGAGGTAAAAGTTATCATGGGCCGATTACAGAATAAGGTTGTTGTCTGGAATCATATGCATGCACGTTTTCAGATTAGTGTGTATCCTAGGATAATAAAGGAAGTAGCTATTCAGATAGTGGATACGCTGGTAGTAACCTTCTGGTAAAATACCAGAGCAAAAATACTAGAAAACTGTAAATGTAACACCTTTGCACGAAAAAGACAAAAAAAAACTATAGACCAGTAAGCTCAATATCTGCCATTGGGAAACAGTTTAGAATTAATTATAGCAGAGCATTTAGAAATACATAACGCAATCAAGCAGAGTCAACATGGCTTCATGAAGGGTAAATCAGGCCTGACAAATTTGTTACAGTTGTTTGAGGATGTAACAAAGATGATAGATAAAGGAGAAGTGGTAGATGTAAAATATTTGAATTTCCAGAAGTCGTTCAATAAAGTTCTACAAATACGGCTACTGAATATGATAAGAACCCGTGGTGGGTTGGGAGTATTATATCAGCATGGATAGAGGAATGACTAAGTAATAAAAGACAGAGAGTTCGGAATAGGAGGGTATTTTCAGGATGGCAATCAGTAGCTAGTGCTGTGCCACAGGGATGAGTGCTGGGCCCACAATTATTTGCAATATATATTAATGAGCTGGATAAGGGAAGTTTGTAGATGGCACAAAGTCTACAGAGGGATATTTGACAGATACAATATAGTATGGGAGAATGTGAGTTAATGCACTCTGGCAGGAAGAACAGAAGAACTGAATATTATTTAAATAGAGAAAGACTGCAAAAAGCTGCAGCACAGGGATTTGAAGGTCCTCTTGCATGAATCACAAAATGTTAGCATCCACATTCATTTTTTAACAGGGAAGGCAAATAGACTATTGGCCTTTCATTTCAAAAGAAATGTAGTATAAAATTTGGAAAGTATTACTAAAACTATAAAAGGAACGTGTCAGATCCGACCAAAAACACCCTGAGGGTGGTGAATCTATGGAGGTTTTTACTACATAGAGCTGTCAAGGCCGGATCTTAAAATAACGCAAGGCTGAGACAGATTTTTAACCAATAAGGGAATCAAGAATTATGGGGAAAAGGCAGTAAAATGGATTTGAGAATTATCAAATCAGCCATGATCTCACAGAATAGCATCATAGTCGACAGGCCAAATGGCATATTTCTGCTCCTATGTCTTATGGTCTTATAGAAGAGATTTGCGAGAATGTTTCCAGGAAATTGCAGCCATGAGGCAAGATTAGATAGGCTAGAGCTGAGTTCTTCAGAACACAGGATGCTAAGGGATGACTTAATTGAAGTGTAAAAAATAATGAGGGAATCAGATAAAGTGAACAGGATAGACTGATTTCCTCTAGCAGAGCACTCAATTATCAATGGCACAGATTTAATTTGATTAATATAACTTTGAGATGCATGAATAGTAAAACGTCAGAATACAGATACAGCAAGTAATTACAAAATACCAACTACATGGATATACAAAGGAGAAGTCATGCTTAACAAATCTACTGGAATTTTTCAAGGACTTAACGAGTAAAGCCTATAAGGGGTACTAAGTGGATATACATAACAACATGTAAACTAGGAGAGTAGGTAATTTAGCTCTTTGAGCCTGCTCGTTATTTGATACAATCATGGCCAATGCCTGTTCTCCAATAACACTTCAACCCATTCCTAATTAAAATTCTATCTATCTCCTCCTTAAATTTAGTCAATGTCCTAGCACTCTGGGAGTAAACAAGAAGCATATTATGTAAAGAGTGAGAGATTGCAGAGTTCAAAGATACAAGAGTAAAGTGAGCATCCTGGTCCAGGATTGGTAAAGGCTGGTATGCAGGTACAGAAAATAATTAGGAAGGCTAATACAATGTTGTTGTTTATTGTGAGGAGAATTGAATACTAAAATAGGGAAGTTATGCTTCACTTACGCAGGGCATTGGAGGGGCCACATTTTTAGTGTACTGATTATCATCTGGGACACTGTGTACAGTATTGGTCTCCGTATTTAACGAAGGATGAAAATGCTTAGAAGAAGTAAGGTAGTGATGATTGAGTGGTATTATTGCTAGACTATTAATAAAGAAATCCAGGTTATGTTCTGGGGAACAGGCTCAAATCCTGCCTGGCCTACATGGACAGCTTTCTAATCATTAAGGGAGTCAAAGGTTATGGGATAGTGGGGGGAAAATGAAGTTGAGGATGATTAAATCAGCCAAGATCTCACTGAATGGCAGAGGGACTTAATAGGCGAAATGGCCTACATCTTCTATGGCGTAGGTAAAGGCTTTGGAAATCTTTTCTTCATAATATTTTTAAGGCAGAGGTAGATAGATTCTTGAGAAGTAAGGTGGTAAAAGGCTTCTAAGGGGCTAGCTGCGAAGGTGAAGTTGAGATTACAATCAGATTAGCCAGAATCATTATAAATGTCAGAGTAGCTTGAGAGGTCACATAGGCTAGACCTGATCTTAACTCCTAACTCTATGTAATATCATGTCAATCCACCGTAGACTTCAGAGTCTAAATGACCTCAAGTGAAATGTTATATTAAAGTTTCTTTACACTTGTTTGACGAAACAGTTTCTTTGACAAGGTACCACACAGGAGGCTGATAAATAAGAGCCTATTGTGTAAATGGAAAGGCAATGATATGGATAGAGGATTGGCTGACTGGCAGAAGGCAGAGAGTGGGGATAAAGGGGTCTTTTTCAGGATGGCAGCCAGTGACTAGTGGAGTTCTGCAGGGGTCAGCGTTGGGACCAAAACTATTCACGTTATGCATTAACAATCTGGATAAAGGAACTGAGGGCATTATTGCTAGGTTTGCAGATGACACAAAGATAAGTGGAGGGACAGGTAGTGTTGAGGAAGCGAGAGACTGCAGAAGGACTTGGGACAGGCTAGGAGAGTGGGCAAAGAAGTGGCAAATAAAATATAATGTGGGAAATGTGAGGTTATGCATGTCAGTAGGAAGAAGAGAGGCACGGTCTATTTTCTAAATGGAGAAAAGCTTTGGAAATCTGAAGCACAAAGGGACTTGGGAGTCCTAGTTTAGGATTCTCTTAAGGTTAACATGCAGGCTGAGATGGCAGTTAGGAAAGCAAATGCATTCTTAGCATTCATTTCAAGAGGGCTAGAATACAAGAGCAGAGATATAAAAACAGAAATTTCTGGAAAAACTCAGCAGGTCTGGCAGCATCTGTGGAGCCATAGCAGAGTTAACATTTCAGATCCAGTACTCCTTCTTCAGACCTGCTGAGTTTTTCTGGCAATTTCTTTTTTGTTTCTGATTTCCAGCATCCGCAGTTCTTTGTTTTTTTTTTAAGAGCAGAGATGTACAGCTGAAGCTTTGTAAGGCTCTGATCAGACCGTATTTGGAATATTGTAAGCGTTTTGGGCCCCATACATAAGGAAGGATGTGCTGGTGTTGGAGGGATCCAGACAAGGTTTACAAGAATGATCCCGGGCTGAAGGGCTTGTCATATGGGGTGTGGTTGAGGACTCTGGGTCACTACTCAATGGAGATAAGGAGGATGAGTTTAGGAGGATAATAGCGGACGTGGAGAAGATGTCTTTACTAGTTGAAGAAAATGTGACCCGAGGGCATAGCCTCAGAGTGAAAGGACAACCCTTTAGAACCAGAATTAGGAAGAATTTCTTCAACCAGAGGGTGATTAATGTGGAACCCATTGCTCTTAGTAAAGAGATCAAGGTTTATGGGGAGAAGGCGGGAGAATGGGGTTGAGAAACTTATCAGCCATGATCAAATAAAGGAGCAAACTTGATGGGTCAAATGGCCCAATTCTGCTCCTATATTTATGGACTTATGGTCTCAAGTATCAGTTATTATTAATTTCACTCTATTTGTGGCCTTTATTTTCTAATGTAGGTATCCAGGACTCTGAAAAGATTGATGAAAGCTGCCCAATCTATTCCATAATGCGTAAAGATGAGACCTCAGAGGGGAAGCCAACAGATCAAGATGAATCTTGCCCTGTAGAAGAAAGTTCTTCACAAACAGCAGAAGAGAAGACAGGAGAAACAGACGACTCTTGTCCTGTAGAAGAAAAAACAGGTGCAGCTGCAGAAGAGAAGAAGGCATCTGAGGAAGATGAGTCTTGCCCTCACGAAGAGCCTTCAAAAACAGAAGAGGCTGCAGCAGAGGGGGGTGAGTCTTGCCCTCTAGAAGGAAGTTCTTCAAAAACAGAAGAAGCTGCAAAGACTGAAGAGGGGAAGAAAACTGAGGAAGATGAGTCTTGCCCTAGACAAGAAAGTGTTTCTGAGGCAAATGAGCAGGAGTTGCCTTCCATTGTTGACAAAGGCTTCAAACGGGTAAATTGCAGAATTGATGCATTGGGAAGCAAGATGGATGGTCTGATAGACAGCATTAAATCTCTTGCTGATGTTATGAACAAAGAGGATGAGAAACAAACCCGAGAAGGAGAACAAGAGCCAAAACAAAAATCACCACAAGCATCACCAGAATCGAAATCACCAACACCACCATCACCAAGAGCAACAACCCCAGAAGCAGCTTCATCAGACACAAAGTCACCAGAAGCAGAAGGGGAGGCAGAAACACAAGCAGAATAAATGATGGAACCAGGACAACACTGCAATCCACCTCTTCTAACCTCTGTGAAGAGATACTGTAACGTTGTGTCTTCTTAAGTAAAACGCTCTCTAAGGAAAGCCTGAGACAGTAGTTACGTTAATGAACCCTGGTACTTTAAAAAGAAACTTGTAAGAATCTGCGCAATAAAGATCTTACTGCCAATTTGTTCAACTTCTGATTCTTGTTTATTAAGCTATTTGGAAATGACTTAGTTACAATTCCAGTAATTGCAATATAATATACTTAATTCCTTGAAAATTGTTGGATGTATTGGGATATATATATTTGGATGTCCGTTTTGAGGAGGGTTTCTGGACCCAAAATGTAACTCTGCTTTCTCTCCACAGATGGTGCCAGATATGCTGAGCTTTTTCCAGCTATTTCTGTTTCTGTTTTGGATATATTGATGTTTTGCTCTGACTTGCACAGAATTATTGCACTTAGTTTCTAAACTTAAGCCACATGTGATGATTATTTAAGGGAAGGTCGCCACACATATGAAACAGAAATAAATCGGTTGTTGGTTAGATCATTAGATCATAAGAAATAGGAAGAATGGGCCTTTTTGCTGCTGGAACCTGTGGTTTCTTTCAGCAAAATCATGTGTAATCGGTAAAATCGATCACAGATGTGACTCTGGTCTTAAATCCACATTCTTGCCTGTTCCACACAATCTTTGACTCCCTTACAGATCAAAAATCCATTTGAATATATTCAAGACTGGTCAATGACTGAGAACCCACTGCTCTCTGTAGATAGAAACACTAAAAATGAATAAACTTTTGAGAGACGAAATTCTGCCTCCTCTAATGAGAATGCTTTCAGTTGTTTCAGCGGCAGGAGTCTGGGAGAAAGCACGAGGGCAGCCTGGGAAGGTAGGTTTTTCGATTATAAAAGTCTTACGTCACGTGACTGCGGCCTTTCAGTTGTTTCAGCGGTGGGAGTCCGGGAGAAAGCGCGAGGGCAGCCTGGGAAGGTAAGCTTCCACCCAATAAATTTGGCAGTTAACTAATACCCAAGACACTACACGCGTAGAGTCTCCCACCCTTCCACCTCCTCTAACCTAATAATAACGACTAAGCGTGGTGAGCAAGTAAGCTATGTGCATTTTTTTTTCTCACTTCTTTGTTATCTTTCGGGGTGGTCACCGAGACGCCAAATCCTCTGGGAGCGGGTTGGAAGGCAAAGCCATAGTCTGTTTGAGTATATAACAGAGTAAACTTACTGGTGCAGACACCACTGCGAAACTAAAAAAAAAAACTAATTAATTTTAAATAATTAACTAAGTAGAGATGGCAGGCCAGGTGATGTGTTGTAGCTGTATGATGTGGGAGCTAGCTGATCCCATTGAGAACAGCAGTGACCACATTTGCAGCAAGTGTTGGCTGCTTGAGGAGCTCCGGCTGAAAGTTGATGAGCTGGAATCCGAACTCCAAACACTCCGGCACATCCGGGAGGGGGAGAAATACCTGGATGCTGTGTTCCAGGAGGCAGTCACACCTGGTAGATTAGCTAATGTTAATTCGATCGGTGGGCAGGGACAGCAGTGTGTGACTGCGAGTGAGGCAGGTACAGGGACCCTGCAGACAGGAACACAAGAGCCGCAGCCCTTGAAATTGTCCCACAAGTATGAGGCACTTGCTCCCTGCGTGGATGAGGCACAGGGCTGCAGGAAGGATGAGTCAACTGACCATGACACCATGGTCCAGGAGGCCATTCGAGAGGGGGGAGCAAAAAGACAGATTGTAGTTGTAGGGGATTCAATCATCAGGGGGATTGACAGTATCCTTTGCGAGCAGGATAGAGAATCCCGCATGGTGTGTTGCCTGCCCGGTGCCAGGGTACGAGACATCTCTGACCGGCTTGAGAGGATACTAGAGAGGGAGCAGGAGGATCCAGTTGTTGTGGTCCACGTAGGTACCAACAACGTAGGCAGGACTAGGAAAAAAGACCTGTTTCGGGATTATGAAAAGCTAGGAACAACATTAAAAACAGGTCTTCAAGGGTCATAATCTCTGGATTGCTGCCCGAGCCACGTGCAAATTGGCACAGGGAGGCGAGGATCAGGGAAGTAAACACATGGCTAAAAGAGTGGTGTGGGAAAGAGGGTTTCCTTTTCATGGGGCACTGGCATCAGTTCTGGGACAGGAGGGATCTATACCGCTGGGATGGACTCTACCTGAACAGGGCCGGATCCTGTGTTCTGGCGAAAAGGGTAAATAGGGTGGTTAATAGGACTTTAAACTAGTAAGTGGGGGGGAGGGAGAAGTGAGCATAGAGGGAGAATAACAATTAATGTAAGGCAAAGCAGCAGGTTAGCAGGTGACGAGGAAGCTTCAACTCCATTGAAAATTAGGAAAAAGGTTAAAGGGAAGGAGAACTCAAGAGCTGTTAGTAATGGAGGTAATAG